CAAGCTATCCCAAACCTCCTTTTCCCAGATATCATCAAGAACCACTAGATACCTCCTATCCTTCAACAATTTGTGCAGCTTCAATACCAACGCCTCCTCTGCTAGTTTCTTCAAATCCTCCATATTGCAATCAGGACTTGTAGTTGCAATTATTTCTTGTAGAGTGTCTCTTCTACTGTAATCATTAGATACATAAACAAATGCTTTGCAATCAAATTTGTATTTGAGATCACAATGATTGTACAATTTTTTTGCAAGAGTGGTTTTGCCCAGACCCCCCATGCCCACAATAGAAACCACACGGCGACGCGGGTCCATGCTAGACAGTTGTGTTAGCAATGCTTTGGTATCTTCTACAAGATCAACCAAATCATCTTCCTCGATATTGGGCGATGTCTGTCTCCACCATCGTAGCCTTTCATTTGGGGAAGCACTCGTCCCTTCACGTCCCTCTTGAGCAGTGCCAGTGATTCCAAAATGTTCTTTTTGGCTTGAAATATTTTGGACCCTAGATTGAATCTTTCCAATCTTCTTTCCTGCCTGATGAAGATTGATTAACTTTGCAGGTATGTCCCATGAACTGTGAGATGCTGCTTCGGTGATGTAAGTTTCTACAATATCTTCAGCATCCAGGGCCACTTCTCTTATTTGAGACACCCAATTGCGAAGTCTTTCATTCTTCTCTCGCTTTGCATCTACATCCTTAAGGAAACTTTGCATCCACCGCAGTTGGTCTCGCAGTTGCTCAACCTTGTCGCCCACACCTTCCAAGAGAAGTTTTTCTTCAGTGATCCAGCTCGTGAGCTTTTCGACGACAGTGGAAACTGCAAACTCAGCCATCTTCTCTTTCTGGTCTGATTCTTTCTCTGTTTCTTTTTCCAACAATAAAAATGGCTAGCTCTTAATAATGGAGATTCTTTTTTTCTGGCTTTTGTTGATATGAATGGTTGGTTGCCGTGCTTCACCGCATCCACCTCCCTCATATTCATATTCAGAGAATTGTTGACGTTTTGGTACGTACCAATAATGTTATGGGTCCCTCATATTCATATTCAGTTAATTGTTGACTTTTTAGTACCAATAATGTTATGGGTCCCTTCAACGCATCCACCCACCTCCCTCGTATTCAAACAAAATGGCAAAAGTCATCATCAAAGTATTAAACAACATATAGCTTCAAAATCAAATTCAACTTAAACAATCAGAAATTGCAGTGCAATTTCTGATCAAGTTGCAACCACACTAACAATAAAAACAAACCAAATAACGTTATGGGTCCCTCATATTCATATTCAAATAATTGTTGACTTTTTTGTACCAATAATTGCCGTGCTTCAACGCATCCACCCACCTCCCTCGTATTCATACTCAGAGAGATTCAGTACAATTCTAGGTTTTTTTCCCTGTTAATTTGCTTTCATAGTGACTGGTATTCCTTATTGAATATTTTTTGTTGGGGTTCCTCTCCGGGATGGGAAATAAGTGCAGGTGCTCCATCTATGTTCCGAAAATTCAGCTACAAGGAAATAAAGAAGGCGACAGAAACCTTCAACACGATCATTGGACGAGGGGGATTTGGAACTGTGTACAAAGCTCACTTTGGTGATGGTTTAGTGGCAGCAGTGAAGCGGATGAACAAAGTTTCAGAGCAGGGGGAGCATGAGTTCTGCAGAGAGATAGTGCTCCTTGCTAGATTGCATCATCGTCATCTTGTTTCTCTAAGGGGTTTTTGCAGTGAGAAACATGAGAGGTAGATGATTTATGTAGATTTGTGTATGTTTGTGGAGCTTATGTACCTGCCCAAATGCTTTATGTGTTTCTTGGCAGGTTTCTCATGTATGAATACATGGCAAATGGTAGCTTGAAGGATCATCTTCACTGTATGCTACTCCATCTCCCGAATTCACTTGCTTTGAGAATGGTGTTGTAAAACCACTTTATGGAAAGGGATGATTTGATGGTGTTTTTCATCCCATTTGAAGTCCATTGTTTTATCTTTTGGTGCCTCTCTGTCTCTGTCTGTCTGTCTGTCTGTCTGTCTGTCTGTCTGTCTGTCTGTCTGTCTGTCTGTCTGTCTGTCTGTCTGTCTGTCTGTCTGTCTGTCTGTCTGTCTGTCTGTCTGTCTGTCTGTCTGTCTGTCTGTCTGTCTGTCTGTCTGTCTGTCTGTCTGTCTGTCTGTCTGTCTGTCTGTCTGTCTGTCTGTCTGTCTGTCTGTCTGTCTGTCTGTCTGTCTGTCTGTCTGTCTGTCTGTCTGTCTGTCTGTCTGTCTGTCTGTCTGTCTGTCTGTCTGTCTGTCTGTCTGTCTGTCTGTCTGTCTGTCTGTCTGTCTGTCTGTCTGTCTGTCTGTCTGTCTGTCTGTCTGTCTGTCTGTCTGTCTGTCTGTCTGTCTGTCTGTCTGTCTGTCTGTCTGTCTGTCTGTCTGTCTGTCTGTCTGTCTGTCTGTCTGTCTGTCTGTCTGTCTGTCTGTCTGTCTGTCTGTCTGTCTGTCTGTCTGTCTGTCTGTCTGTCTGTCTGTCTCTCTCTCTCTCTCTCTCTCGGTGGAATCCCACTTAATATGGTGATTGTCACCTTTCCGAATGATATATTCAGGCATCCAAAAGCTATGGAAGACGACATAAAATCATTCTCTTATTTTGTTTCCAAACCAACATTTTTTTAAGGCCATTAATCTATCCTGAATATGTTTACTCACGTGTATGCAGCTCCAAATAGAACTCCTCTAACTTGGCGGACTAGAGTCCAAATTGCCATTGACGTGGCTAATGCTCTGGTAAACTCATGGTTTATGCTTATCTTGTTACTGGCTTCTTTTGTTCATGAGATTTCAGATTTGTTCACAATCAGTTACACAAACGCACACACTGAAAAAATAGATTTTCTTCCTAATTTGCTGTTCTGAACTGCAGGAGTATCTCCATTTCTATTGTGATCCTCCTCTGTGCCATAGAGATATTAAGTCTAGCAACATCTTATTGGATGAGAGTTTTCGTGCCAAGGTATATATGGTTGGATACAGATATAGCTTTTAATACAATCTCTTTGGTGCAAATTTTTAATTTTTAATTTTTATTTTGTAAACAACTAAATGAAGAAAGATAATAGTTTCTCTTAATAGATCCAGGTGTGTTCACATACTCATTTGTGACTAAATTTTCTCCTCTTTAAATAAAAGAGGTTCAAAAAGGAAAGGACACTGTTTACAATTACTTTTAGAGTTTTAAGATATTATGGCATGGAATGTATCCAGAAAATGCATGCTAATAACCCCTTTTAAATTCTTTGAAATAGATCTCTCTCCTTTTGTTCCAGGTTGCGGATTTTGGCCTTGCGCATGCATCGAAAGATGGTTCTATTTGCTTTGAAGCGGTAAACACGGATATCCGGGGCACTCCAGGTTAGAGTCAAGCTTGTTTAATAGCCTGAAATAAAAAAAGATATATATTTTCTTGCTAAAGAACTTAAGAATATTGAACGGATGACTTCAGGTTATATGGATCCTGAGTATGTGGTTACCCAAGAGCTGACGGAGAAAAGTGATGTGTACAGCTATGGTGTGCTACTGTTGGAGATAGTGACTGCGAGACGTGCAATACAAGACAACAGGAATTTGGTAGAATGGTCGCAAAAATACATGGCATCAGAGTTAAGGCTACCTGATCTAGTGGATCCCAGTATACGGGATTCAGTTGATCTGGATCAGCTTCAGACTATCATGTCTGTTGTGAGATGGTGCACCCAGAAAGAAGGCCGGGATAGGCCTTCAATTAAACAGGTTCTCAGGCTTTTGTATGAGAGTTCAGATCCAATGCATAGTGGATTTCTAGCAGCTGTGGATGATGAAGCGTACGAAGAGACTGAAGGACGGGGAAGGAATAGTAAAGGGAAGATGCATAGGAATGACATGATTTTTCACAGTGGGGATGGAAGATATCTTGCTTCTTCTTCAAGTACATCCAGATCCTACTGTAGTAGAAGCTTCTTGCTGGAAAATGGTTCCCCACAATCCCCTCCAAATATTCTATCCGTTTGAAGCATTCATTTAGCCATTATCACCATTTAGAAAGGGCTGGTAGCACTTGATCATTTTTGAAACCACTGAATCAGATTGCCGGCCAGTTGCGAGATTCGAGGTACGTTGAGTATTTCTTTAGCTCAACCTTTTGAAAATCACATCAACAACTTCAAGGTGTTTCCCAGTATCGGCCAAAGGCCAAAGAAAATTGTGAGGACGGTAATGTTGCATCCTTTTGTGTTTTGCTTGTTAAAAGTTTTGGGGAAGAGAAACATAAATATATATATCTTTGCTTGTACTATTGGTATGAAGTTTAACAATTTTATAACCAACATTTAGTATAAAGTAGTGTCATACCTAGAAGAAATGTCTTTTGCATATATAATTCCACATGAATTCGAGTTACTTGTGATGGCCAAAACAGATAAAAAGCAATCTTACTCATCCGTGCCCCAAAAGGGCTGAAAACAATATAGTGGTCTTCTCTTTACAAAATGGTTGTCATTGGTGATAATAATGCAAATGTAAAAATTAGATGACTGAGGCTTGCATCAGAAATAAGCCTGCATTTAGGGCTGTCCAATCTGCTCAAACCAATCGAATCGATGATTTTGCAAGTCCGGCATTGGATCGGATGTGAGAAGAACCCAATTGAATCAAAATCAAATATAGTTGGTTTCTTGCCAGTTTTCCTCTTTTAGTAATTTGAAATTGAATAAATTATGAACATTATTAAGTGATTTGATGGAGAGTTATGTCGGTGATGGACTGGCATGCATACGGCCTCAGACAGAATAATCCTCAACTCAAGCAATCAAACAGCAAGCTTGAAAAACAAAAGAAATTAACACAACTCAATTACATAGTATTTTCTTTCAGAAATTAACACTCGACGAACAACAAACTTTTATTAGGAAAAGCCAAAGAAACAACCTGCAAAATAACCCAAATAGCTAGTAGAACTGGAGGAAATAGACAGACCAGCGAACAAGGAGAAATTTAAAGAAATAGATATAGACAGACCAGTCAATATAAATCCCATTTCCTTTCCTTCAAGAGGTGTGTAGTCAATAACTTAAATCGTTCTGGAATCTTTCGCAATCTTGGACAGTGGTCTATATTTAGATTCTTGAGCTTCATCATTGCCCCTTCTTCCACTATCAACTCCTTCAAATCATCTAACAAATATAGATGTAGAATGTGCAACTGAGGAAACCCTTCCGAGGAGGAGAAAACCAGTTTTGTCCCAGTGTATGAATCGAATCCCAAGAAAAGCATCTTTAGGTTTGGCAACCTCCCAAGCTTAACTATTGAATCTTCCTCGAGGTTGGAATGAGAAAGACTAAGCTTGACGAGGTTCGGTGGGAATTGGTGTGGATCAGGTAGCTTCATTAAACTCCCGGTCAAATAGAGCTTGTGGAGATGCTCCAAATGCGAAAGTCTTATGGCTGTTGTCAATGTTGCACTGGTCAGAAACAAGGATTCAAGGCAGTGCAATCTCTCTATGTTGGAAACCACTGAGTTTAATTCTTCTTGCGTATCTAGTACTATTTTCAGTCGTCGCAGATTAGTCAAGCTGGCTAAACAGCCATCTTCTATCCATCTTCCACCTTTTACCCATTTTAGGGTCCTTAAATTGTTTAAGAAATCCAATCTAGAATCCATTACAGCGATTCGACCTTTGACCACCAAATGTCTCAAATTCTTCAACTTCCAAATAACATCAGGAAAACACTGGCGATTCTTGAAAGTTGTTACTTCGAGTGTCTGTAGATTCTTCAGTTTTCCAATTGATCGAGGCAGATCGATTTTGTCCATATATGTTTCCAATAATACTCCTAGATACTTCAGTGGAATTAGGTTTCCTACAGCACTTAGTGCTCGAGATGAAAAGGGAACACCATCTAGGACCTTGAGCAACTTGAAATCCTTGAAAACAAAGTCGAGTTTTGAATCCCCCATGTTGAAAAATAGAAGGGAGCGTAAGTAGGGGGCATACGGCTTTAGAAAAACATACAGGTTATCATGTTCACCATGGATTGCAAGCCTTCGACATTTGGTCCGTTGTGATTTTGGCGATTCAATTTCCTGCCCACTATAAATTTCAAGAAAACTTTCCTCTCTGCCCTTGGAGATAGAGAATTCTCTGAGAACATCATGCATGCGAACGGTTTTAAGATTTCCAAGTGAGGTTAGTGTTCCTACCTGGATCATGCACCTATCAACCAACTCATTTAAGCAATTTTCGGCAACACCTTCCGCAACTTCTTCTCCTTGTTGTGGTAAGAATCCTTCTGCAACCCACAAGTGTATCAACTTTGTTTTCGATATAGAGGAATCCTCAGGGAAAAGACCCAAATAAAGAAAACATGATTTTAAGTGGAAAGGCAAATCATTGTAGCTTAGACCTAAAATTGCAGAAACACGATCTTGATCAATCAGGCGCCAGTTGATGTTTTCAAGCACACGTCTCCATTCCTCTGCGATCTTCCTTTTCTTGGACAATAATCCTCCAAGCACCACCACTGCTAGTGGCAAACCACCACATTTCGCCATCATATCTCTTCCGAGCTTCTCCAAATCAGAAGGCATTTTATCCATTTCAGGGAATGCTTTCTTGCAGAACAGTTCCAAGCTTTCATCTTGTGTTAGAAATCGCGGCTCAATGGGTTTGCTCATTACATCTGCATATAAAGCAACTTCCTTATTTCGGGTGGTGAGCATCACCTTACTTCCCAGCTTTCCACTTGGAAATGCAAATTGCATGCTATCCCAGACCTCTGTTTCCCAAATATCATCAAGAACCACTAGATACCTTCTCTCCTTCAACAATTCGTGCAGCTTCAATACCAACGTCTCCTCTGCTAGTTTCTTCAAATCCTCCATATTGCAATCAGGACTTGTAGCTGCAATTATTCCTTGTAGAGTGTCTCTTCTACTGTAATCATTAGATACATAAACAAATGCTTTACAATCAAATTTGTATTTGAGATCACAATGATTGTACAATTTTTTTGCAAGAGTGGTTTTGCCCAGACCGCCCATGCCCACAATAGAAACCACACGGCGACACGGGTCCATACTAGATAGTTGTGTTAGCAATGCTTTGGTATCTTCTACAAGATCAACCAAATCATCTTCCTCAATATTGGGCGATGTCTGTCTCCATCATCGTAGCCTTTCATTTGGGGAAGCACTCGTCCCTTCACGTCCCTCTTGAGCAGTGCTAGTGATTCCAAAATGTTCTTTTTGGCTTGAAATATTTTGGACCCTAGATTGAATCTTTCCAATCTTCTTTCCTACCTGATGAAGATTGATTAACTTCGCAGGTATGTCCCATGAACTGTGAGATGCTGCTTCGGCGATGTAAGTTTCTACAATATCTTCAGCATCCAGGGCCACTTCTCTTATTTGAGACACCCAATCGTGAAGTCTTTGATTCTTCTCTCACTCTGCATCTACATCCTTGAGGAAACTTTGCATCCACCGCAGTTGGTCTCGCAGTTGCTCAACCTTGTCGCCCACACCTTCCAAGAGACGTTTTTCTTCAGTGATCCAGCTCGTGAGCTTTTCGACGACAGTGGAAACTGCAAGCTCAGCCATCTTCTCTCTCTGGTCTGATTCTTTCTCTGTTTCTTTTTCCAACAATAAAAATAGCTAGCTCTTAATAATGGAGATTCCTTTTTTCTGGCTTTTGTTGATATGAATGGTTGGTCGCCGTGCTTCACCGCATCCACCTCCCTCATATTCATATTCAGAGAATTGTTGACGTTTTGGTACGTACCAATAATGTTATGGGTCCCTCATATTCATATTCAGTTAATTGTTGACTTTTTAGTACCAATAATGTTATGGGTCCCTTCAACGCATCCACCCACCTCCCTCGTATTCAAACAAAATGGCAAAAGTCATCATCAAAGTATTAAACAACATATAGCTTTAAAATCAAATTCAATTTCTGATCAAGTTGCAACCACACTAACAATAAAAACAAACCAAATAATGTTATGGGTCCTCATATTCATATTCAGATAATTGTTGACTTTTTTGTACCAATAATTGCCGTGCTTCAACGCATCCACCCACCTCCCTCGTATTCATACTCAGAGAGATTCAAACAAAATGGCAAAAGTCATCATCAAAGTATTAAACAACATATAGCTTCAAAATCAAATAGACTTATTTTTCCTAAAATCCAATCATCATTGGGCGACAATCAGAAATTGCACTGCAATTTCTAATCAAGCAACTAAACAAAATCAAAAAGACATTTTTTAAATCCATGTGTCGGTCTCCTGCTGTGGCATGGATTCTATTGGGTGGCTTTCTTGGCTGCCTGTTATCCTGTGCTCCTGTGCTTGTATGCTTTTTGGTTGTTTGCTAGCTGCCGATTGGCTCTCTCCTTTCTGTATGTTTCTTTTGGCTTTTCCCCTTGTTTCAATGGATTCCTTTTGACCCCCAAAAAAAAAAAGTGTCTCTTTCATTTATTATTATTTTCCAAAAATCATAATAAATTCATAAAATAGCATAAAAATACAACAAAAATTCTACAAACTTCTTGTAACACTTTCTACATTTAAGACTTCATAGTCAAAAATACAAATAATATTTATGAAGCTTTAGTAAATAGTAAATCTTGGGTTGTTTAAGCTTTAGCGAATCTTTTTGAAGCATTTACGAAACATATTTTGATGACAGACAAGTGATGCTGCAGCAGTGGGATTCTGACTTAAGTCATTTCTCTAATATACGAAAAATTACAACAAGTTCCTTGCAATGACTCTACGTATTTGAAGTGTCAACAAATGCTTGTAAATGCAAGCCATAAAAAAGAGGCATGTTATGTATATATACCTTTTAAGGTGCTTCTCAATGCAATCAATAATATATCAAGAACCGGTCAACAATTTGTCAATAATCGATGAATAAATTATCAATAGTCCGTCAATATTTTTTCAGTAACACAGCAATAGTATCAACAACCCGTCACAACCATCAATAGTTTATCACTGACATAGAAAGTTTGAAACAAAACCAAAGCTAATATGTTCAATTACACAAAAAAACACCCAGATTAATCTGCCATAATTGTTGCGCCATCTTTTGCTGAATAGACATCACAAAGAGCAAGGTTATCTCAAAGCCAACACTACTACAAAAAACGAAATAGACGACGGGAATTCACCGTCGTTGTAATACTTTGAAAACCGTCGTTAAATCGACAGTCGTCTTTTGGAGTATCAAACTACGACGGCTTTTCACCGTCGTTGTTTATGTGTAAAGACGACGGTTTTTACTAAAATCGTCGTTGTTCTTACTAAAGACGACCCTTTTTTGTTCAAAACCGTCGTTATTTATGGGTAAAAACGACGGTTTTTTAAAAACCGTCGTTATTTATGGTTAAAGACGACGGTTTTTGTTTAAAACCGTCGTAATTTATGGGTAAAAACGACGGTATTGTGTTGAAAATGGTCATTAATTATATGCACAGACGACAGTTTTTCCAATAAAACCATCGTTTTATTATCTTTAAATATGTCGTCTAATAAGTTCTCAACCTTTTACATTTTAGTTTTTTGTTTCCTATGATTCTATACAATGATTGTAACTAGAAAACCAATTATAATGCTTTATTAACAAATATATGCACTCAAAAATTATTTCTTTCATAAAACTTGAAGATTCAAAAGTAATTACATAGTCAACCAATCTTTATTCTATTACACACATACTTCCTACCAATAAATTAAAATAAAGGAGCTCACAAATTCTACTAATTTGATCTGAACTTTATCAATTTGTTCTTGGGTTGACATAGCTCTGCCTTCTTGCACATTTTCCAAGTTGTTGTATTCCCCTCCCCTGTAACAATATCAGCAACAGCAAGCCCTTCTACAAGACTTGCAAAATTAACATCAAACTCCACAAACACAAATCTTACTTCAGCAGTCATGTTGTTTTTGTCCATGCACAGTGCGTCTTGTGTGAGCTGCTCTGAGAAAAGATAACCATAAACAAAGTATTCCTGAAAATAACAATAGGGATAAAAAGCAGAGCCAAAGTAAGAGAATGGGTTTAACTGAACTACTCCAATTATCTATAATCAATACCTAAATCCAAACCTATAACCCATACCAACAGCAGCAAATCTGAACTCAAAAACAAAGATTCCTTTAATTCTTTTAAAGAAACATACATATATATGGTAACAGCCATTCTCTGTGGCCATTTCAGCCACTTCTTCTTTCTCCAATCTGCCAAACTAAAGTGTATTAGAATTGCTTTGAGTATTTTAAGTAACCCTTTTCTTGATGATCTGATAATTGCTTTTAGTTCGAGCTTTACCAGTGAGATGGTCCACCAAAGAGAGAGAGAGAGAGAGAGAGAGAGAGAGAGAGAGAGAGAGAGAGAGAGAGAGAGAGAGAGAGAGAGAGAGAGAGAGAGAGAGAGAGAGAGAGAGAGAGAGAGAGAGAGAGAGAGAGAGAGAGAGAGAGAGAGAGAGAGAGAGAGAGAGAGAGAGAGAGAGAGAGAGAGAGAGAGAGAGAGAGAGAGAGAGAGAGAGAGAGAGAGAGAGAGAGAGAGAGAGAGAGAGAGAGAGAGAGAGAGAGAGAGAGAGAGAGAGAGAGAGAGAGAGAGAGAGAGAGAGAGAGAGAGAGAGAGAGAGAGAGAGAGAGAGAGAGAGAGAGAGAGAGAGAGAGAGAGAGAGAGAGAGAGAGAGAGAGAGAGAGAGAGAGAGAGAGAGAGAGAGAGAGAGAGAGAGAGAGAGAGAGAGAGAGAGAGAGAGAGAGAGAGAGAGAGAGAGAGAGAGAGAGAGAGAGAGAGAGAGAGAGAGAGAGAGAGAGAGAGAGAGAGAGAGAGAGAGAGAGAGAGAGAGAGAGTTTGGCTACCCATGAGAATCCCGGAGAGTCTGAGATCCATGGGAACTGAAGGATTCAAAAGATCCTCGCTGCAAACAAAAAAATCATGAAAATTTGCATCGGATTTTTAGACAACAAATCAGAAGAAGCCTAAGCAAACTCCTAGAAAAGTAACTTCGTACCTTTCTGGTCCACGAGGAAGAAGATCTAATCTAAAGCTTATGAAATGGAAGATGGGAATCCAGATGGGGGCTTAAAAATGATCGCGATGAGGAAGGGTAGCTTCCATGGGCAGCGCGAGGGAGATGACGAACGCGGCAAGATCGGTGACCTGAACGGCTCGACGGAGATGGCGATCAAGGCAAGTTCGGTGGACGGCGCGAGGGAGATGTGCTTCATAGATGTGAGAAAGGGTTTTCTTCTGAAAGGTCGTGATGTAGTACAATGTTTGAGAGAGCGTGGGTTTTCTGAAAAGCTCCGCGCTCGCGAACTTAAAAGTTAAATTTTGTTTAGCGCCTCCTAAAAACACGACGGTTGTAATAAGGTATCGTCGCAACTTTATAAATTAACCCAAAGCATCAGCGTATTAGGCACCTTATCACGACGGTATTATAACACTCGTCGTCTTTTAAAATACCACGACAGTTTTTATATAAACGGTCGTCTATTGGGTGTCGTTGTTTAACATAATTGTAGTAGTGCAATAATAGACCTCAAACCATGTATTGCAATTAAGCAAATGCTTCACACCGTATAGTCATGTCCAATAGATTCCAAATATGATAAGCAGATGGAAAAACTTGCAACGTATATCAAAACGATGAAACATAGAAATTAGAAGTAGGTATCAATATTAGATCTATATAACATTTATACATGACAGGAAGGATGGAGAGTGCTCATTATCTTAGAAGCAGAAATGGCACTACCATATCTGCAATGTCTCTGTAAATTTCCTTGCAGCAATCTTCTGTTAGGGTTCTTTTTCTTTGCTGCAAATTTCTATTAGGTCCTTTGTTAACTACAATTCTAGGATTAAAAGAAGGAAAAGGAATTATGGCCACTTAATGTATGAATACAACCACAGAAACTCGTATAGTTTATGAACTGAAAAAAAAAACCAGGGTACATGGAAAAATTATGAAAGATATTGGGCGCTGAACAAAACTAGAAAGAATTAGGAAAAAAAAAATACCATTGGTTTGAACCTAGTGAGTTAAAAAACAAGAGATCAAACATAGGGATTATATACATATTTTGTCAGTATACCATTGGTGGGTCAGTATAATTGGCTCTCGATTCAAAGCTAGGGATTATATACCATTGATAATGGCAAAATATGTATTCGACAAAAATACCATTGGTGGGTCAGTATAATTGGCTCTCGATTCAAAGCTCAGCCAGATTCCAGATTTTTTATATATTAACGTGGCTAATGCTCTGGTAAACTCATGGTTTATGCTTATCTTGTTACTGGCTTGTTTTGTTCATGAGATTTCAGTTCACAATCAGTTACACAAACACACACACTGATAAAATAGATTTTCTTCCTAATTTGCTGTTCTGAACTGCAGGAGTATATATCTCCATTTCTATTGTGATCCTCCTCTGTGCCATAGAGATATTAAGTCTAGCAACATCTTAATTGGATGAGAGTTTTCGTGCCAAGATATATGGTTGGATACAGATATAGCTTTTAATACAATCTCTTTGGTGCAAATTTTTAATTTTTATTTTGTAAACAACTAAATGAAGAAAGATAATAGTTTCTCTTGATAGATCCAGGTGTGTTCACATACTCATTTGTGACTAAATTTTCTCCTCTTT